GCACTGGCACATCTTCCAGGGCAGGGGTGGAGTCACTGTCCCTGGGGTGTTTAAAAGCCCTGTGGATGTGGCACTGGGGACAGGGCTCAGTGGTGGCCTTGGCAGCGCTGGCAATGGTGGAACTCAATGATCTTAGAGGGCTTTTCCAGCTAAACAATTCCCCGATTCTCTGATTCCAGCACAGGAACAGGAGACTCTGGCTTCCCCCATGGGCTCTGTGGCTGAGCTTTGGCAGCTGGGTGAGGAGTGGAGATCAGAGCTGAGCACGGGGACTGTCCCTGACAGAAGCAGTGAATTGGGAGAAGGAGCTTGAGGACAGGCAGGAATGCTCTGTGCCTGGAGCAGCCACGGGGGGAGCTGGAAAGGAAAGTTTGTGATGCAGAGGAAAGGCAGCCTGGGGTGTTGTGTGTCTCTGGGCACCAGACCTGCTGCCTCCTGCAGCTTTTGTGGCCCTGGGCAGTTGGCCAAGGACCATCTCCCTTCTGCCAGGCACATCCAACACACTGTAGTGTCCTTGTGTCCCCGCTCCTGGCAGGGGAACCCTGCCCTGATCCAGAGCTGCGGGTGCTGTGTGACCCTGCAGGGCAGCAGGCTCAGCTGGGCCCTCTTGAATTCCTGTTTTTTGCCCTCCTGACCCCGAAGATTTTGAATAACTCAAGATTCAGAAGCAGCCAGTGCATCTGGAATGTTTCTGACTCACTCATCGCGCTGGTATCTCGACACCAGCCCAAAATAACTCCGTGCTGTGGCACAGCTCTGCTGTGGATGGAGCAAAACTGCACCAAACCCCCCAGGGGGAGCAGAGCTGGGGGGAACAGCCCCGTCTGCTGCCAGCCTTGGCCTGGCCAGGAGGACACGGGGTCAGCAGGTCCTGGTGCAGACCCCCCACACCCCTGGGCATGGCCAGAGGAGCCACAGCCTCCTCCTCACCCTCACCCTGCCCAGCCACGGGGGCAGAGCACGAGGCTGATGGTGGCGGCTTCGATGAGGTGGAGCCAGAGAGGGCTGGGTGTCCTCCCAGGGAGCTGCACCCCGGGGTGCCCAGGCACCCCCAGCACCCCGAGGGGCTCAGGCACCCCCATCACCCCGAGGGGCTCAGGCACCCCCAGCACCCCAAGTGCTCAGGCACCCCCAGCACCCCGAGAGGCTCAGGCACCCCCAGCACCCTGAGGGGCTCAGGCACCCCCAGCACCCCGAGGGGCTCAGGCACCCCCAGCACCCCGGGGTGCTCAGGCACCCCCAGCACCCCGGGGTGCTCAGGAACGCCCAGCACCCCGGGGTGCTCAGGCACCCCCAGCACCCCGGGGTGCTCAGACACCCCCAGCACCCCGGGGTGCTCAGGAACGCCCAGCACCCCGGGGTGCTCAGGCACCCCCAGCACCCCGAGGGGCTCAGGCACCCCCATCACCCCGAGGGGCTCAGGCACCCCCAGCACCCTGGGGTGCTCAGGCACCCCCAGCACCCCAAGTGCTCAGGCACCCCCAGCACCCCGAGAGGCTCAGGCACCCCCAGCACCCTGAGGGGCTCAGGCACCCCCAGCACCCCGAGGGGCTCAGGCACCCCCAGCACCCCGGGGTGCTCAGGCACCCCCAGCACCCCGGGGTGCTCAGGAACGCCCAGCACCCCGGGGTGCTCAGACACCCCCAGCACCCCAAGTGCTCAGACACCCCCAACACCCCGGGGTGCCCAGGCACCCCCAGCACCCCGAGGGGCCCAGGCACCCCCAGCAGCCCGGGCTGGAGCTCAGCTCATCCCCGCCGGGAGCTGCGCCCGGGCGTTCTCTGCCACCACCGGGGACCAGAGCGAGTCCCTCCAGGGCCCCGCAGGGAGGGGGCACCGCCAGCCCCAATCTGGGGGCTCCGGGGGAGGTGGCACAGCAGGAATTGTCCCGACTGCTGTCCCCTGTCCCCGGCGGGCAGAGAAGGGCTCCCCCGAGGGTGACGCTGGGCTGGTGACCCCGGAGCAGCGCAGGACCCCGAGCAGGGATGTGACACCCGGGCCGGGGCTGGCACCGCGGAGACACGCGTGGCCCTGCAGCGTCCCGGGGAGCTCGGAGCGGCTCCTGCGCGTCCCTGGGCCGTGCTGGGAGAGCCCTCTCCTGGCCGGCGTGCGAGGAGAGCGGCTGTGCCGGGAGCGAGCCCGGGGACCGCGCTGCCCGGCTGAGCCCCCGGGCTGGTGCCGTGCTCCGTTCTCGAGGGGGCTGGGGACATGTCCCCAATCCCCTGCTGCCAGGACCTGCAGGGTGCTCGCTCAGTGAGGGTGGTGTACCCGGGATGGAGCCGTGTCCCCGTGTGGGACAGGGATGGAGCGGTGTCCCCGTGCTGGGACAGGGATGGAGCGGTGTCCCTGTGCTGGGACAGGGATGGAGCCGTGTCCCCGTACTGGGACAGGGATGGAGCGGTGTCCCCGTGTGGGACAAGGATGGAGCAGTGTCCTCGTGTGGGACAGGGATGGAGCCGTGTCCCTATGCTGGGACAGGGATGGAGCAGTGTCCCTGTGCTGGGACAGGGATGGAGCGGTGTCCCTGTACTGGGACAGGGGTGGAGCCGTGTCCCCGTGCTGGGACAGGGATGGAGCCCTGTCCCCGTGCTGGGCAGAGATGGAGCAGTGTCCCCGTGCTGGGACAGGGATGGAGCAGTGTCCCCGTGCTGGGACAGGGATGGAGCAGTGTCCCCGTGCTCGGACAGGGATGGAGCAGTGTCCCCGTGTGGGACAGCGATGGAGCGGTGTCCCCGTGCTCGGACAGGGATGGAGCAGTGTCCCTGTGCTGGGACAGGGATGGAGCAGTGTCCCTGTGCTCGGACAGGGATGGAGCAGTGTCCTTGCACAGGGACCGAGCATCCCTGTGATGGGACGAGGAGCAGCCACGTGTCCCCACGGCGGGACAGGGTCCCCAACCAGGCAGAAGCTGGCAGGGAGGGAGCTGGGTGACACTCACCGTGTGCCATCATCTCCACCCTGGAGCCGTACCGGGCGTGCCAGACTCAGCGTGGCAATGTGAGGGACAGACCAGGGCGGAATGTGGGGCCCGGGGGACACCAGTGGGATGAGCTGGAGGGATCCACGCACCGGAGCATCCTCACAGATGAAACCCTGGCCCCGTGCCCCCCTCCCCACGCGGCTGACAAGCGGAGCTCCATCGTTTTCCAAATCTTTATTGTAAATAAATTCTGCGGCATGGCAGGAGCGGCCGGGGCCGGGGCCGGGGCGGGAGCGGCTCCGGCGGCGGCTCCAGCGCGTGCAAAGCGGGAGCGCGGGGCCGCGGGCCCGGCGGCAGCGGAGCAGGCGGTGCGGGGTGGCGGCGGTGCGGGGAGGGGGACGGGGACCCCGCCCCGGGCCGGGCCCGTGGGAGCAGCGGGGCCGGGGGGCTCTGCTCTCTTGGCTCTGGAAGCACCGGGTGCCCCCCGCCCCGCCGCGGGCCCTCCCGCCCTGGCAGCGTTAAAATCATTAAGAAAAATCCCAGTATTTATATATATATATATATGTATATTAATGTCCCCAAACCCGGTGACAACGGTGGCTTCTTGCTCTGAACCCGGGGTGTCCCCTGGCCGCAGGGAGCACCCCGGCACTGTGGCTGTGGCAGCTGTGGGGACACTCTGGTGACAGTGACAGAGATGGGGGCTGATCCCAGACCCCTGATGCCCACGGTGGTCCCAGGTCCCCAGGTGTCCCAGAGCTGACATGTCACACAAGCAGCCACCCCCGGATCCCAGCCAGGGGATGTCCAGCCACCCCTGTCCTGCTGTCACCTCCCACCCTGTCCCCTGGGGTGCCACCACAGCCACAGCACCCGGGGGTGTCTGGGGGGGCTGTCACTCCAGGCTGGGTGCCACCACACTTCGGCCATGGCTGGGCTTGGGGACACCCCTGGTCACTCTCTGTCTCCATGGTGGTGGGCAGGGACCCTGGGCAAGGAGGGGGCACAGAGGGGACACCCCCACACTGCCACGGACAGTGGGCATCATCCCCCATTGTCCCCGTGCTGGGCGTCCCCACGAGTGTCCCCACACAAACAAACACACACCACGTTGTGTCACCAAGTGTCACCAGGGACGTCCCCTCCATGCTGAGTGTCACCAGTGGTTAAAGGGACCAGTGTGGCCCCGGTGCTCCGAGGTGCTGTGCTCTGGGTGGCTCTGCAGAGCCACCCCATGCAGGGTGACATGTGCCACGTGCCACAGGGAGAGGGTGATGTCCCCCCCGTCCTGCCATGGGGGTGGGGACAGCCAGTCCGGGGGGAGCGGGTGCCACAAGCCCTGGGGTGACAAGTGCCACCCAGCAAGCTGCCCTGTGTCCCCAGCCCAGGGCTCACCCTGTACCCTGGCCCCCCCGGGGGGTTCTTCTGTCCGCCCCAGCCCCAGTGTCACCAGTTTGGGGCTCACCTGCCCGAGCTGGGGACTGGGGGAAGCCTCGAGGCAGAGCTGTCACCCGTGGGTGCCTGTCCCTCCCCTGGGGACTTCGGGGTCCCATGGCTTGGGGGATGGGGGGAGAATTTGAGGGGACAAATCCCACACGGGGCTGCTGAGCTGCTTTGGGGGGTGGGGAGGCACATCTGGGGGTGCAGGACCTGTCCCCCGTGGGACCCAGCCCAGGCACTGGGCAGGGGGGACAACTCCAGGCCTTGAACTGGGGAAGGGCACTGGCCTGGTACTGGGGACACTGGCCTGGTACTGGGGACACTGGCCTCGTGCTGGGGACACTGGCCTGTGTCCCTGACACTTTTGGGGTCCCAGGCCCGGCTGGAAGATGCTCTGGAGGGCAGGGGCGGGCCGGGGCTCCGCGGGCCCCGCGGGTACATTCATTCCTCCAGGGCCGGGGGGGCCGGGGGTCCCCGTACATTCGTGGCGCTGCGGGGGGGCCGGGGGGCGCTCCCGGGTGCCCCCCCCGCTCTCCTCCTCGGCCGGGCCCTCGGCAGCGCCGCCCCATTTAATTGCTGTTAATGAGGCGCTGGGGGGCTGGGGCGGAGCGCCCCGCTCAGGCCCCCCCGGACCTGCAACACAGAAGTGGGGTGCGTTTAGTGGGGGGCTGCGACAGGGGGGTGACACACGGGGGACACTGAGCTGAAGTGAGCCAGCGCCGGGGGAGGGGCTGCTGCCAGAACCCCCCAGCCGCTGCTGCCCTTCAGCCCCGGGGGCACAGAGATGGAGACAGCACGGCCGGACACACAGCACACGGACAGACGGGCCCGGGGGCTCCCACGCCGTCAGGCTGCCGGACGGTGACGGTGACAGGGACGGTGACGAGACGATGGGGGGGACACGGTTACACTCCCTGCTGCGCCGGGTCGTACCTTCCTCGGCGGATGTTCCTTGGGGGGGTGGCGGGGGAGAGGAGAGCAGCATTAGTGCCACCCCCGTGTCCCCGCTGTCCCCCCCGGTGCGTGCCCCCACCCCAGGGTCCCTGGTCCCACAGGCAGCAGCGGTGTCCCAGGGCCAGGCAGGAGCACCCCATGCTTGGGGACAGACACGGCCATGGGGGCCGGGTGACAGTGACACCCCAATGGCTCATGCAGGCAGGGCAGGCAGGGCCGGGGGGCAGGCAGGGGCTGGGACAAGGGACCAGGCAGGGTCAGGGGACCAGGCAGGGCCAAGGGGACCAGAGGCCACACCCCGGGGGGACTGCAGTGCCCCGGCAGGGCACGGCCCGGCCCTGGCGCGGTGTCGCTGTGCAGAGGGGACGTGGCCGGTGACAGCAGCACAGGGGACGAGCCATGCGGTGGCTGCTTACTTAAATCCCCAGCCTGTCCCCCCTAGGACGATGGCAGCCACCAGCACGGCCCCCGCGATGGAGCCGATAATGATATTGGTGCCACTGGGACCTGTGACAGACGGGACAGGGAGGAGGGGACAGGGTCACACGTCTGTGGGAAAGGGACATGGGGACAGGGGGACATGGGGACAATAGCCCCAGGGATGCCCCAGGGCCATGGGGTTCGGGAAGGGGACAAACCCACAGGGAACGTGTCAGTGGGGAGGGGACAGGGGGACACAGGGACACAGCCCCAGGGCAGTCCCAGTGCTGCGGGGACCCGGGAGGGAGACAAACCCAGCACAGGGACCCACCTCAGTGGGGACGGGATGCGGGGACAGGGGGACACAGCCCCAGGCATGACCCAGAGCTGTGGGGACCTGGGAGGGGGCACAAACCCAGCCCTGCCCAGCTGAGCTGCAGCACCAGGGTGGGGGGACGCTCTGGAGCCGCGCTGTGGCCGGGGACAAAGCGGGACAGCCCGGGCTGTGTGGCCTGGGGACAGCAGGGAGCCTGGTCCCCGCGGGCACACGGACCCTTGTATCGCTCCGTCTCCCCCGTGGGCTTCGGCTCCGGGATGGGGTCGTAGACGCTGCAGTCCTTCCCCGTCCACTCCGCCCGGCAGATGCACTTCCCCTCGTTGCTGCAAACCTGCGAGAGGACGGCGTCACCCCCGCCACCGTGACACTGCCCGGGTGTCCCCCTGTCCCCGGCGCGCCCCTCACCCCGTGGTCGAAGCAGATTTTCCCGTCCCAGCTGCCGGGGCAGGAGCTGAAGTTAAAGGCGGTGGCTGGAAGGCATTTGCGGTCGAGACAGAGCATTCCGGGCCCGCAGGGCGTCCCGTCCTCCACGTAGCTCAGGTCCGAGCCGTCCACCAGCTGCACGTGGCCGCCCCTGTGCCAGGACAGCCGCAGGGTGACACGGGCACCGCTGGCAGCCGGAGCCCTGCCGGTGCCCGCGGTGGCATTGCCCGCGGTGGCATTACCCGCAATGACAGTGCCCCTGGTGGCAGTGCCTGTGGGGGCAGTGCCCGCGGTGGCAGTGCCCGCGGTGGCATTACCCGCAATGACAGTGCCCCTGGTGGCAGTGCCCGCGGTGGCAGTGCCTGTGGTGGCAGTGCCCGCGGTGACAGCACGTGGCAGTACTCGCGGTGGCAGTGCCCCTGGTGGCAGTGCCTGTGGTGGCATTACCCGCAGTGACAGTGCCCCTGGTGGCAGTACTCGCAGTGGCAGTGCCCCTGGTGGCAGTACTCGCGGTGGCAGTGTCCCTGGTGGCAGTGCCCGCGTGGCAGTGCCCGCGGGGTCAGTACCTGCAGTCCACGTAGCGGTTCTGGTGGTAGAAGGTGGTGGTGGCGATCTCCCCGCTGAGCTCCCCCAGCCGCGGCGAGCCCGAGATGTTGGCGCAGAGGAGGAAGCCGCAGAGGACGTCCCTTCAAGGCAGCGGTGGTGTCACCAGGGCGGCGGGTGGCACCCGGAGGGGCCGCGGGGACAGGGGTCACTCACTGCTTGTTGCACTGCAGCCAGCCCAGGCCCTCGCGCCCGCAGTTCCCCCGCTCCGTCCCCTCCACGTTCAGCTTCTCGTAGCAGAAGCGCTCGGCCGAGCCTGGCAGAGAGCGATTGTCACCTGCTCGTCACCCGCTGCGTCCCCTCCCGGCCCCGGCCAGCACTCACTGCGGCCCCACAGCGCGTTGCACTGACGGTCCCGAGTTTTGCAGCGCCCGCCGTAGCATCGTCCCTGCGGGAGGGGACAGGGGTCAGGGCGGGGACCCAGGGGCTGGGGAAGGGTCAGGGGACTGGGGAGGGGTGACAAGGCTGGGGAGAGGCTCACACACGTGCCCTGCAGGGACAATGAGCTCCCCACACACACATCTCCCCATGCCTGCTCCCAGGAGCACGGCCCTGGCTCATGTGGTGCAGGGATGTGTGCACAGCCAGGGGACAGCAGGACCCCCAAAACCCACACCCAGGGGCTCAGGGCCCCCAAAACCCCCAAACCCAGGTGTGTGTGCATGGCTCAGCTGTGGCTGTGATTGCTGACAAGAAGTCACAAACTGGTTTGGGTTGGATCTCAAAGCTCATCCAGTTCCATCCCCTGCCATGGGCAGGGACAGCTCCCACCAGGCCAGGCTGCTCCAAGCCCCATCCAGCAGGGCCTTGGACAGTCCCAAATGCACTTTTAACATGCAAAGCCCTGGTGCTGGAGCCTGTGGGGATGTACCCAGCCCAGGCTGAACTCACCTGCTCGTTCTCACAGAAGTATCCGTCCAGCTTGTGGAGGTTGGGGGGACACTGAGGGGACATGGAGAGGAGGCTGGGTGGTGGCACAAGGCCCCACAATGTGTCCCACCGTGTCCCCCGGCCCCACTCACCTGGCTGGAGTCCCCGGTGCAGGTCTCGGGGATGTCACACTCGTTCACAGCCTCCCGGCAGGACACTCCACGTGGCTCGTACTGCCCGGGGCACAAACCCAACTCAGCAGGAACAGGAGAGGATCCGACTGGATCCACATCCAGACCCTGCCCCCGAGCCCGCTGGGTGCTCCCAGCCCCGCACCTTGCAGCCCTTGCAGCAGAGCCCATCGCTGCACATGGCGTCGTGGGTCAGGGTGCATTTCTTGCAGCAGTTTCCGCCGCTCCTCGCACACTCCTGCCAGGATCAGCCGGGATCAGCCCCTGGCAGCCCTGCAGCCCCCAGGGCGGGGGGAGCAGCCCCGGCCCTGCTCACCGCCAGCGAGCCGCAGTCGCACTCCTCGCCCGCCTCCACGAAGCCATTGCCGCACTCCGGGGGGTCCAGGAGCTGCGGGGACCGAGCGGGGACAGGACACAGACACACGGGAGCTGCTGGGGACCCCGAGCCAGCCGCTGCCGTGAGCCCCCCGAAAAAGGCATCACATCCCCGGGGAATGGCAGCACCCCCCAAAAGCGCTGCCAGGCACGAGGTCCCCCCGCCCTGGGAGCTCAGCAGCAGCTCCTTGGCTGTGTCGGGGGCTGGGGACACCGCCAGGGACCCCGGAGCTGCCCCCAGAGCATGGCTCCCCACTGTGACCCCCCGAGGGGCCGTTACCTTCAGGGGTTTGTTGAAGAGGCAGCTGCCGCCGCCGTCCTGCAGGAACTGGTTGTACTCATCGATGCTGCAGCGGGAGAACTTCCGCGGGAGGTAGTACCTGTGGGGTGGGTCACTGTCACAGCGCCACACCCCGCCGGGGGCACTGCCCGACACACGAACCCGGGCGGGGCCGCGGCGATGTCCCCCGGGCAAGCAGCAGGGACGCGAGGTGCGGCAGGGGATGTGGCAGTGCCACCCCGAGCGGGCACCCACCCTGTGTCCTCCATGATGCAGCCCAGCCACGAGTCCGGGCAGCGGCAGTCCCCTGCGAGGAGAGGAGAGGGCTGCGGCTGCAGAGTCCCGCCGCCAGCCTGGTGGCACCGCGGCGTGTCCCCACGGTGCCCGTGTCCCCACGGTGCCCGTGTCCCCAGGTGCCCGTGGCCCCGCGGGAGATGCCTACCTGCGGCAGTGCGGTGCTTGTTCCACATCATGCCCACGTTCTGCCCCAGGGTCTGCGCCAGTGTCACCGCCATGGCCGCCACGTTGCCGTACTGCGCGGGAGGGACGCGGTGTCACCGCGGGGACCCCCGTGCCCGTCCCCAGCCCCCGCGCGGGGGTCGCGCCGCACCCACCTCGTTGACGCCGCCGGCGCGGGCAGGGGAGCAGATGCCCCCGACAAAGGCGGTGCCGCTGCGGCTGCTCTGAAACGTCCGACCCCTGCGAGGAAGAGGATGGTGGGGACGGGGGACGCTGTCCCCGGCCCCGGGGGGGACACGTGGCCACAGCGCTCACGAGAAGAGGTGGACGGTGTCACTGTGCTCTGCCAGCCCCTCGCGCCGGTACTTCACAAACTCGTTCAGGGTCTCCAGGGAGTCTTGCCCCATCCGGATCCGGTCCTCGGCCGCCCACGTCTCCATGGCCACCAGCACGATGCGAGTGTTCAGCTGCTCCTTGTAGATCTGTGGGGACAAAGGGACCCCTCCCAGGGACAAACCCACCAGCTCCCGGGGATAAACCTCTGTGGATAACTTCAGGAGCTGGGCACACGCATCCGTCACCAGGGACAATTCCCCCGGGACAAAGGACTGCTGGGACAAACCCACCATGTGCCAAAGAAAAAACAAGAGTGGGACAAACTCCCTGGGGACAAACTCTCAAGGGACCAACTGAGGTGCTGAGGACCAAACCCCGGGGTAAACCACCAGGAACTAGGGACAAAGTCCCTGGGAACAAATCCACCAGCTGCGGGGAACAGTCCCCTCAAGGATAACCCCCCCAGGGACAAACCCACCAGGATGCGGGATAAACCCGGGAATAAACCCACTGGGGATAAATCCCTTGGGAATGAAGGGCAATGAAGCCCCCAAGGGACAAACCCGCCAGGACGGGGGATAAATACTCTCTCCAGGAATAAAACACTTGGGAATGAAGGGTAATGAAGCCCCCAAGGGACAAAGCCATCAGATGCCAGGGATTATCCTCCCAGGGACAACCCCCCCAAGGGACAAATTCCTTCCAGAGACCCCCCCTCACCATGTCAGCCAGGTTGACCACGGACTTGGCGAAGTTGCTGGTGAGAACTACGGACTTGCGGAGCTGCAGGAACTGGGGGCACACCAGGGCCAGGTGGGACTGGGGGGGGGCCAGACGGACCCCTCACCGCCCCCGCCAGCCCCGGGACCCCCCCGCTCACCAGCTGGTGGTCGTTCACCACGGCCAGCTCGATGTACTTGGTCTCGCTGTGCACCGTGTGCTGGGCTCGGCGGACCTGCAGGGGGAACCCGCGCCTGGGCTGGCACCGGCTCCCAGATGGGCTCCCGAGCCCTCCAGGGATGTTTGGGGTGCAGGGAGCGGGCAGAGCCACCGGGTGGTTGGGATGCAGCCCCACCAGTGTTCCAGGGGGTGCCCTGGACACCCCTGAACCCCGGCAGGAGCAGCACTCTGCAAACACCCACGGAGGAGCCTGGCTGCACCCGCAGCCCACGGGCGGAGATAACCAGGGTCCAGCACACTCGTCCCCTGCCCGTGTCCTCTGTCCCCTGAGTACCCCGTTGTCCCCACTGACCTGCCGCCGCCGCCGCAGCTTTGGAATCCCACCCGGGACACGCTGGCTCAGCGCAGGGAAGAGGCAGCCTGCAGGGAAGGGACAGAGCTGGTGTGACACCAGGACACAGGACACGGGGCCAGCGAGGCGACGGCCGCAAATCCCCGGGAACAGCTTTGTGAGGAGGCTCACCCAGTCGGGGGCAGCTGGGGATGCGCTGCACGATGTGTGGTCGAAGACCCTGCCACGGGGAGAGGCGTGTCACGGCCACGCGTGGGAGAGGAGGACTGCCGCGTCCCCGTGTCCCCATGGCTGTCCCCAAGCCACAGGCAGACCCCTAAAGCCGCCCTGGGGTGCTCGGGCAGCACCTGGCGGTGGCAGCGCTCACCTGCCCGCGCTCGGCGCCCGCCTGGGGCTCGATCAGGTACGTGGCTCGGCCGTCCGAGAAGACCCCGCTGCAAAGAGAGGCGGCGTGTCGGGGGGCAGAGGGGTGCAGCCCCCCGGGCCCCCTGCGGGCACTGGGGATACTCACCGCAGGCCCTGGCAGCTGGAGAGAGCGGCGAAGGAGCGGGGCTGCCCCCGGAGCCGGCCCTGGTAGTAGCAGTGCTCCCCCGCGCCCTGCGGAGGGGGACGGGCGCTGAGCCTCGGGTGCCGCCCTGCCCCGCACCCCCAGGGCCGCAGCAGGCTCTGGGGTTCTCTGCCAGGCACCCCCAGGGTGTGCGTGGTGCCCACAGCACCCAGGATGCCCCGCTCGAGAGATCCCAGCACCATGGCAGCAGCACCCGCCAGGCAGGGGCTGGGCACCCAGGGGCGGGTGGGGGGATAACGAGCTGCTGGGGACCATTCCTGGGCTTTTGTGGGATTTAGGAACTGGCCACCACCACCCCTGCACTGGCACAGCACGGTTTGACACAGCATGGTGCAGTTTGGCACAGTATGGCACAGCGTGGTTTGGCACGGCGTGGTTTGGCACGGCGTGGTTTGGCACGGCGTGGCACACATCTTACCGTGCTGTGGCTGCCGTTGCTGCCCGCGCCGACGTGCCGCTCCACGTAGTGGGAGGCGAGGAGGTGGCTGCCGGGAGCAGGTGGGGGGTAAACCCCCAGGGCCGCAGCAGGCTCTGGGGTTCTCTGCCAGGCACCCCCAGGGTGTGCGTGGTGCCCACAGCACCCAGGATGCCCCGCTCGAGAGATCCCAGCACCATGGCAGCAGCACCCGCCAGGCAGGGGCTGGGCACCCAGGGGCGGGTGGGGGGATAACGAGCTGCTGGGGACCATTCCTGGGCTTTTGTGGGATTTAGGAACTGGCCACCACCACCCCTGCACTGGCACAGCACGGTTTGACACAGCATGGTGCAGTATGGCACAGCGTGGTTTGGCACAGCGTGGTTTGGCACGGCGTGGTTTGGCACGGCGTGGTTTGGCACGGCGTGGCACACATCTTACCGTGCTGTGGCTGCCGTTGCTGCCCGCGCCGACGTGCCGCTCCACGTAGTGGGAGGCGAGGAGGTGGCTGCCGGGAGCAGGTGGGGGGTAAGAGGCCGTGGGGTGGGGAGGAAGAGGAGGAAGAGGGAGACGACAGCAGCGATCCACGCGCAGGGCACCACCCCGGCGTGGGAGACCACCCACCATCCATACACAAGGTACCACCCCAGCACGGGACCCCCCAGTTTGGGAGGGCGCTGGCATCCCATGGGTCCCTGTCCCCTCTGCTCCACCCCCGGCCGAGCCCGCACTGCTGGGATGGCTCAGCACAGCTCCCCCATCCCGGGCACCCCCAGCTCCTGCCCTCCGCCCGGGGGGCAGCAGCAGCCCCGCGCTGGCTCCCCCGCCAGGACCCCCGGGTCACTCACTGGTTCAGCCGGAGATCGAGGGTGAAGGCTGAGCCGAAGGCACGCACCATGAAGCTCACCTGTGCCAGGTGCAGCCCCTGCAGGGGGCAGAGCCAGAGCAGTCAGCCCCCCCAAAACATTCATAACTAAAATAATCATTAAAACCCCAACCCAAATACGCCGCCTGTGAAGATGCACTTTTTTTTTTTTACCCAAAAAATCAGCATAAAGAAAACCTTTTTTTTTTTTTTTTTTTTTTTTTAACGCATCTCCCCTGGAGCACTGGGATGGCACCTGCGTCCCACCGCCCCTCCGCGGCTGCCGTGCTGGGGAGGGGGTGCCGGGGGTCCCCGGCGCTGGGCCCAGCCCGGCCGCGGCAGCCGAGCCGCCGCTCCTCCCGCCCTGCGGCGCCGCCGCTCCTGACCTAATTCCTGATTCCCAATTCCTGCCGCCGGCAGCGGGAGCCGAGCGCTGCGGCGCGGCCTCAGACCCGGCAAACTCGGCGCACGGGTGAGAGCCCGGCACGGGCTGCGGCCCCCTCGGTGCTTCACACGGGGAAACGGCACAAAAGCCAAACCCCTCCTGGCGTGCCCCGTCCCCTTGCTGGGAACCCGGCACAGCTCGGGATGAGGACACAGGGATGAGGAGCCGTCTGTCATCGCAGGGAAGGGATATCCCGGGCCCTGACAGCATCCCTGGGGTCCGGCAGCACTGCCGGAGGGGGCTGTGTCTCCGGGAGCCAGCCCCGAATTCCCGCGGGTCTCCGCTGCCCCTCCCGCCGCGACACCCCGGTTTAACACCTCCCTGGCCCCCCGCCAGCGCTGCCGGCGCTTCCCGGCGTCCGGCGGCTCCACTCGAAGCCGGGTGTAAATCACCTCTGCGGCGAGAGCAGCGCCTCATCCCGCCTGCATCCGGCGCGCACGGGGATCGATGGGCGCCGGCCCCCGCGGCTGCCGGCACCGCAGCTCCCCCGTGCCGGACGGGGCGCGCTGCTGCCCCCCGAACCGCAGGGACAGCAGCATGGCTGGGGGCACTGCCCGAGCCTGGGCTGGGCTGGGGAGCGGCACTGTGGGGCCCGGGGCCGCTCCTTCCTTGCCGGAGCCACGAGTCTGTTCCTGTGCTCGCCACCCGCCCGCTCCCGCTTCATCCCTCCCAACACCCGCGCGCTGCCGGTTCCCAGATTTAATGGGGTTTTGCGGCACAGGTCCGTGTCCCTCCGGGGAGCACGGCAGCGGGATGGTCCCTGGGGCACGAGGGCTCCGGTTCGGGGTGCCGGTAGCCGCGCACACGCTGGGGTGTGGCTGGGCCAGCGACGGCGGCTGCCTGGGGACCTGGAGCTGCCACCTGCCCGGGACCCTGCAAAGGGAGCGGGTTGGGGCTGTCTTTCACTTACGGGTCCTCCTCCTCCTCCTCCTCCGGGCTCATGCCTGACCCTGGTGTCCAGCTGATGCTTTGGGACTTCTCCGCCCGAGCTCTGCCCCACCAGCCGGCTGGGGTGGGTGATTTGGGAGAGCACCCGCCCCTCCTGCCATGCGGCCCGCGGGAGCCTCCGCGGCAGCGCTCCGGCCTGCGCGGCAGCACCTGGGGAGAGGGGACAGGGTCGCGGCCACCCTGGGAGGGCTGGGGGCACGGGGACCTGGGGAGGAGAAGGGACAGAGACACAGGGGCCTGGGGACAAGGGGACGTGAAGGTCTGCAGGAAAGGAAGAACAGGGAGATGGCAACATGCAGGGATGGGAACAGGAGGGGACAGAGTTGGTGAATGTGCTCAGGGGGTGGCCCAAGAAGGGGACACTCCTGTCCTGGATGGGATGCCCAGGGAACATGGAAAGTGGGCACAGGGATTGTCCCAGGGTGCACAGCTGGGGAACATCCAGGTACCCCAGTGTGCCCAGGAGGGGACAGCCAGCAAGCACAGGGTGAGAGGGGTGCCCAGGGCATGGGGGTGAGCAGGAGGGGAACACAGACAGCTGGGGAAGCTCAGGAGGTCTCAGATACCATGGCATGTCCTGGAGGACACACACAGGGGCCATGGGTGGCTGATAAAGTGATGCATCCCAGAAGGGGCCATGCAGCAGAGAGGGGGCTCAGAAATGCCAGCACACCTGGAGGAAAGGTTGGGGTGGGGTCAGCATATCCTGGAGGGAGCATGCAGGGAAAAGGGGGGGCTGGAATGGGGACACACCTCAGAGGGGACACCCAGGGGACAGAGAGGGCCGGGATGGGCCCACCGAATGGGAGGTGGAAGACTGGTATGGGGACACCCCCCTAGAGGGGACAACGAGGGGACAGCAGGAATGGTGCAGGGACACCTTTGCAGGTGACAGCCAGGGGACACGGTGCGTGGCCGCTATGGGGACACATCCCAAGGGGACGTGGATGGTTGCTATGAGGACATCTATGGGGCATGCAGGGAACGGGGGATGCGAGACGGGGACACATCCTGGAGGGGACACAGGGGCTGCTATGCGGCCACCTCCGGAGAGGGAGCGCGGCGGGGGCCCTGCGGGGACAGCGCGGTGGAGGGCGCGGGGCCGCCGCAGGTGCGGGGCCGGGGGGGACGCGGGGCTGCGGGGCCGGGGCAGGTGCGGAGCCGGGGCTGCGGGGCCGGGGCCGGGCAGGTGCGGGGGGATCGCGGGCCCGGCCCCTCCCGGGGCTCTGCGGGGCGGCGCTGCGGAAAAATGTGTCGATGCAGCGAAAAAGCCGCAGCGGCGGCGGCGGGGCCGGGAGCGGAGCGGGGCGATGCGGGGCCGGGAGCGGGGCCGGGAGCGCGGCGGGCGCGATGCGCGGCCGGTACCGGGGGCCGGTACCGGAACCGGTACCGGGGCGATGCCGGAGCGGGAGCGGGTCCGGACCTACCTGCCCGCGGGGCGAGCGAGAGCAGCGCGGCCAGCAGCCACCCCCGCAGCGGGCTCATGGCTCCCTCATGCTCCGCCAGCGGCCGCGCCGGGCCCGCCGCGCCGGGGACCGTCACCGNCGCGGCACTGCAGCACCGGAGCCCCGCTGTCAGCGCCCCCGGGCCGGCAGCACCCCGGGCCGGCTGCACCCCCGGCCGGCACCGGAGCTGCCGGTGCCATCACCCCCCGGAATGGTACCGGAGCCCCGGGCCAGCGCTGGGCACCCCGCACCGGCAGGGACCAGAGCGGAGCCGCCAGTGCCAGACCCCTCCCAGGCAGATCAGTGTCCCCCCACAGCCACCGGGACAGGCACACCAGGACAGGGACACCAGGATGAGAACGCCACAGTCAATACTGGAACCTCGGGACAGAATCAAACCCCCCTCAGCCCCTGCTGCCCCCCCCAGCCAGTGCAGGACACCCACAGCAGTATCAGCCCCTCCAGCCAGTCCCAAACCCCCCCAACACCAGCACCAGGCTCTCCAGCTGGGACTGGAGGCCCCCAGGCTGCACCGGGCCCCCCTCAGCTGGTACTGGCCCCCAGCCAGTCCCAGAGCCCCTGCACAAACCAGTACCAGGACCCACACCATGATCAGAGCTCCCCAGCTGGGACTGAAGCTCAGGAGGGGCCTCTAAAGCCTCGTGTGTCCCAAGCCCCTGATCCCAGTACATGATCCCACTTCAAGCCTTCCCTTTGAGCCCGGAGTGAAGGAGGGAGTGGTGTCCTTCACTCAAGGACTGAATGTCTCCAAGGACAGACAGACCCCACTCCTCTGGGTGCCTGGTCCAGGGCTGTCCCACCCTTCTGGGCCCTGAGCCTTTCCTTTTCCCAACCTGCAGCTTGACATGTGGCACCACAGAAGTTCCATTCTGCTTGGAACTGCCCTTCAAGAAGCCAGAGGTTGCTTTTAGACACTCCAGAACATCCTCTTGGCCAGCCCAGCCTGTCCCTGACCTCCCTCCCTCGGCCCCATGCCCAGGAGGGGAGAACAGGCTCCGAGCAGCTGCTCTCCAGGTTCTCCACACCCCTCCTTGCTGGGCACCACCCCTGCACTGGGTACAACAGCTTCCCAGTGCCTGCTGGCCACGCTCCTCTGGCAAACCACAGATGGGGTGAAGTTCTGGGGCTGGACAAACTGCTGTGCCCATTGCCCACAGACCCCTTCCAACAAAGCTTCCTCCACCCAGCCCCTACTGCTCCGCTCCTGCCCCCAGCCACGTTCCACTCACAGTAAGGCAGAACAGAATCTCATCCCTCCATTTTATTTCAAAGTTTAAAAGTTTGTAAAAAAATCCAAAACAAGTTAAAAGCACCTGAAAATACTCAAAGACAACCCCCAGACCACATGAGGAGCACAAATCTCATCTCCATGACCCTCCTTTCCTAAGTCTTTGCAGCTCTGGGGACCACGTGAGAGGAGGAACAGCTCTTCCTCTGGAAGGGCAAAGAGCACATTGCTGTTGGACAGAGACTTCCAGAGGCACCACTGTGTCAGTGGTGAGTCCTGTGAGAAATTAGAGGAAGCTGCTGGCTCTAAACGTGGCCAGCAGAGAAGAGGGAAGATCACAGCCAAGGACAGGGAAGCCACTGCATCCCCATCAATTCCCACCAGGAGAGCTGCCCACGCTGCCAGTGCTGTCCTCACTCCTGGATGTGCCTCCTGGTCCTGGCATGGAGGGTGCCTCTGTAAATCCCATCCCAGCCCCTCCTCAGCTCCCACCGAGGGTCCAGAGAGCAGCCTGCAGGTGATTTTAGCTGCCAAACAACGTCCCAAGTATGGGGAAAGAGGTTCCTCTGGTCTCTGTGCAGCAGTTCCTGCAGCTCTTGTCCTCTCTGGCTGCCCAGGCCAGCTCTGACTCCTCCAGCACAGGGCAGAGCTGAGACTTGTACCCGCTGTCCCTCAGCCTGATGTGTGGCTGCTGCAGCAAGTCCCTGTCCACAGCTGGAATCCTGCAGCCTTGGACACCTGAGAGGCTGGGGAGCAGCTGCACATCCCAGTGTGACTCCAAGGAACTCCTGAAGCCATGAGCAGCCTCTGGGCTCTGGGGAGCAGGCAGGAGGAGTTTGGGGCTCTGTGCCCGCTCCATGCCCTGCCTGGGCACACTGGGAGCTCCAGGGGCTGCTTCTTCTGCTGCCCTGACACGGAGCGAGCAGCAACATCTGCCTGCAGCCACAGGCAGTGTGGGAGAGGGCAGGCAGCCAGCAGGGCAGCTGGTCCTGCTCGCTGTGCTCTCCAGAGCAGGCCTGTTCCCATCCCTGGGTGTGTTGTCACCGTCCCCTCCGTGCAGTTTCCCTTGGGATCTGTCCCTGCTCCAGCCACGCTCGCTGGCAGTGCTGGCTGCAGCTGCCTCCCCTGCATCCAAACCTGCAGCCACGGCTCCCGGGGATCCCGGCTGGGATACAGGGTCCCCAGGGCTCTCACACAGGCACAGATCCAAAGCAAGGGAGCTGTGAGGTCTGCTGGAGAGCTCTGTGCCCAGGGGCAGGCTGCCAGCCCCCAGCACAGTGGGCAGGGCTGGCTCAGACACCTGCCCTGCACCCTGTGCCCCCATCCCACCACCCACCTGCTCCATCTGCTCACCCAGAGGGGAGAGGCCAAAACCCAGCTCCAGCCTGGGCCTCTTTCCCACCTGGGAGCTCTGTCTGGAGCACAGCTGGCGCTTCCTGGAGGCAGGCTGTGCTTGGGGAGGGTGGCTGACAGACCCAGGCTGTGTATGAGGTTCAGATGAAGAAGACATTGCCTCTCTGACAGGAGTGGGTGCTGCACAAGGCCTCCAGCCCAGCTCAGGAGCCAAGCCTAAACCTGAAGCCCCCTGCCCAGCCCCCTCCATGGTACCATGGGCAGCACAGGCCCCACTGCTGAGCCCTGCTCCCCTTGGCAGCTGCAGGGAGCTGTGCTTTGACAAGTCTCCTTCTCCTCTGGGATCTCTGACCCTGTCCTTGGGCAGGCAGGGGGAATGTCCCTGGGTTTTCAGGCCATGATCCAGCTCTGTATCCGTTACCAGTTCCACAGCACCCTGCTCAGGCTGCTCCCCTTCCTTTCCCAGCTCTGCTGGCAGCAGCTTCATTCCTCCAGTGCTGTGTGCTTGAGGCACTACACGTTCCTCTGCCAGGCAGGACCAGGGCACCCTGGGGGGAACCATCAGTTAATGCTCACCCAGCCCCAGCAACACTCCCCCCAGGGAGACAAGGCCTCTCCTGCAGTGCAGGGTGTTTGCAGCCCTTACTCAGGAGCAGGGAAGCAGTTTGAGCCTGGTGAGGCTCAGGATGACTCTGCTGCTGGCAGAGATGGGCAGCACAAGGGATCTCAGCCTCCTCAGCCCAGTGCCCAGGCACAGGGGGCTACAGAGCAGCAGGGTTTGAGTCAGACACAGGGACAGAAGAGGTAGGCTCAGCTGCCCTTTCTAGTTTAGGAGGCACTAGGAGTCCACAGGGAGTTTCCTGAAGGAGAAACCCCAAGGAAATGCAGAACACCTCCCATGGTTTGTCTAAGCTTTGCCCAGCAGGTACCAAGTTGGGCCAGCTTCAGCCTGAGATCCCCAGGCACAGGGACCCCATTCCATGGATGGGCCATGCAGCACCCTGCTGCCTTTGGGCTCCAGGAGTTCCCAGATCCCCAGACTTACTTGGCTGACCACTCCATGAAGCTGTTGGTGAGCTGGGAGATGACACGATCCACAGGGATGTACTGGGAGCTGTCCCTGGCAAACCTCTGGTGCTGGGGGCTCTGGAGATGCTGGAAGGTGGCAGAAGCCCTTTAACAACACTCAAAGCTTTGCCAGGAGGGGAATTTGCAGTAACAGGCACTTCCCACAGCCTAACAGACCAGAGGGCAAAGGGACAAAGCCAGTGTCTGCTGGTTTGGGAACACACAGTGTCCTGTTCCTGCTCCTGCTGATGAGGAGGCTGTGTGTGGATGCAAGGACAGCCCACAGCCTCCCCACAGCAGGAAATAGACTCCATCACCACTGTCTGGCACTAACAGCTGGGCTCTGAAAGCCCCCTTGCTTGGCACCTTCCAGGAGATAAAAAACATCCACCTTTTCAATCTGCCTGTGCCCCATGGCTGCCATGGAGCAGCCTCTTCACCTTATGGATCATGCAACAGGATGATCCTTGAGGCTCTTGCACCCCAAGAGAGGAGCATGTTGTGCTCCAACCTTCAAACCCCCTGTGCTCCAACCTGCTGGTCTGGGCACACAGATATACCAGTTCCCATCTCACAGGCAGATCCTGCTGGATGCAGCAATTCCTCCCGAAGCAGCTCATAGTGCTAACAAGCATGACACGATTAACAAAGCCTCTGAGTGCTCCCCACAACTCCTGCAAGGAACCAGCTCCCAGGGGAACCTTTACCTTCTGCAGCTCTTCAAAGGTCTCCTGGCAGCACTCACAAAACCCCCTCCTTTTCCTGGGCACGGTGACGTGTGTGGAGCGGGGGCTCTTCCCCCCGGCGCTGTGCAGGGCACAGCCCTCAGCACCCCTGCAAGGCACAGCACAGGGTCACCCTGCCTGACAGGGACAGCAGGGGCCAGCACAGGGCTCCTTGTGCCCACACCCAAGGGCAGGTGGTTCCCAGAGCCCAGGAACCAGCAGTGAGCAGGAGCGGGGTTAAACTCTTGCACAGAAGGAGCTGCAGCCTACCTGGCTGGGCAGGAATTGGAGAGGCTTTTCAGAGGCTCAAATGGGCTGGAGCTTTTGGGTGCCAGGAAGTTGAGGTCAGGAAAGCTTTGGAACTGGTGATGGAAGGGCCGGAATTGCCTGAAAGCAGCAGATCAGGACATCAGACTCATGGTAGTGCTGGCAAGGCTTCAGAGCTGTCCCTGCTGCAGCCTGGAGGGGCTCAAGGTGCCACCTCATTCATGATGAGGTGCTGCCCATTGCTCTCCTATGGCTGTGCCAGAGCTCCCATTTCTGACTGCACATGAGAATGAAATTCTCATTTCATTAAACACATTTAAAGTGTTAAACCCAGTTCCTAGTAACAGCCCCAATGGGGCATGTTTTGGACAGAAGGCAAGCTTGCCTGCTCAGCCCAAATTCCACCTTTTGTCCCAGGGCAGAGCAGTGCAGTATTCCCAGCTACCCCACTGCACAGGAGGGTTTTGATTCCCAGGCCACCTCTCTCCCCTCACACTTCACTGCATGCAGCATGTAAACCACAATATCTGACTCTTAATTGAGATGCCTTAAATGTTGCCTTTGGAATAATTAATTGGCCCTGTGGATGCTGGTAGAGTTACAGAGTCCTCAGAAACACCACAGGGATCAGGTCCCCTGTGCCCAAGGCGGTCCTCAAGTTACAGGCCCTGACCTCCTGTGCTTCAATCTCACTCCTCACTGCTGAGGGCTTGGGTGGATTAAGTGACCTGCTGAGGATCACACATGGAATCTGAGCAAGGAAGGAAACTGCTGTCAAGTCTCGTTTAACACCTTTTTTCTCCCTGACACACAAGACACCTGGATTGTTTCTCTCAACTCCATCTGCCTCCCTCTAGGAGAGAATCAACTTCCCAGTGTGGAACAGGGACTGCAGAACAGTCCCTGGGAATGAAACCAGTGAAGGAGAGACCCCGAGGTTTTAGGGTAGGATACTTAGAAAGGTCTTTACCTGCTCTGGTCTTCAACTTTCAGAAAAGGGGGCTTCAATTTTCCTGCCAGAGAGAAACCTGGTTAGTATTCCTGGCCAAATTCCCTATTTAGTCACTCATTCCCCAACAGAACTGGGCTCCAGAGCTGAGTGCATCAGAACCTCTGGCACTGGTGAATGCCAAGTGGTGGCCAAGCACAGACAGAACATCTCTAGGTGATCCTCAACAGCCCTGGGCCAAGTGTGCAGTGGGGTAACCAAACCCTAGGCAGCCCACTTGGGACATTTCCATCTTTGAAAGTGTATTCAGCCATTCCCTCACATCTTTAATGCCTCCTCAGCCATACAGCCACTGTCCTAACCCTAAGCCTTCTGACCCCAACCCCAAGAACTGTCACACAACTCCCCCACAATGTGCTACTGAGTATGAGAAGGGAACTCAGGGACTTCAGCAACTGCTGCACTGGCTCAGAGCTCTGCACCAACTTTCAGCACCTTTTTCTCCATTCACCCTCCCTCAAGTGCAGAACCTGGCTCACCACCCTGGCTCAGGCCAGGATGGTGATGTCAAAGCAGCAGGAGATGCTGGAGACAAACCAAGGTGCTGCCAGCCAAGCCTGGCACCAGGACACTACTCGAGAGCAGTATCTGGCCTCTGCTCAGTTCCCAAGGAGGGCAAACAGCAGCTTTGCTTCCTTTGGAGAGGAAGAAGAGAGCAAAACAGTCTCAGCAGTGCATTGAGGGAAAATGTTTTCAGAGCCAGGCTGGGAGGGGAGGTTCCAAGGTCCCTCCTGTCCTGCAGGTACGTTCAACTCACATTACGCTCACCTTGGAAACCCGAGTCCTGATCTGGCTAAGAAACAAAAAACACCAAGGTGTTCCCACAAGGCATCTGCCTGACCCTGAAATCAAGCCTCTCCTGCCTCCCTCATGGCCTCTGAAGGGCGAGGAGTTTTGTTTTCTTGTGATCCTGGCACTCAATGCTATTTTTTCCAAAGATATTTCACCCTCCTTCCCCAGAAAGGCTGAGCCCACCTGTCCTCACCAGCCTCACCCTCTGCTTGCCTCAAATGTGCTGCTACATCACTGAAGCTGCTATTTCAGTACAGTTTTTTCCTTGCAAACACTGCCAAATGCTCAGCACTTCTGAGAGAGAGGCCACGTGCAGGCCCCAGATCCAGCTCAGATGGTGCACGAGTCCCAAGTGATCCCAGCAGAGACAAACAGCTCTGATGGCACTGTGAGACCCTGGGCCAGGCTCAGAGTGTGCCCAGCACACATCTCAGAGCTTGCAGGCACAATCTGCCACATCCAACAGCTTCTCGAGCCTTTCTTCAGCACTTTCCCCTCACCCCAAACTGGGAAATAACTCCCAAGAGTCTCACACACCACCCAGGTTGGAGTCTGCTCCAAACCGGCGCAGACCAGCTGACGTCACCAGGGCCAATTTCAGCACCACAATTGGCTCTTGTCTAATTGCAGATGAGAACCTGGCTGTTCCCCCTCCCTCCTCCCTGCAAGAGCCATCCCCAGATTGGTGTCTCAGCAGCACATCTCAGCCCAACAGAAGTGAGTGGGCTGGGAGGAACACGCTCTCCTCTGCAGGATGCATTATTCCTCAAAAGCTCCTTTAAGCTGCTGGATTCAGCACTGTTCTCAGGTGCCTTGGGATTCTGGGAGCTGGCAGCAAAGGTTTTTAGGTATTTTTAAACACAGTGTGAAAGCAAAGGTCCTCAGCTGTCCTGGGAGGCTGCAGCCAGACTCCAACAAGGAGTAACAGACCCCATTCAAGGGGAACTCCTTGAAGAGTTGGCATATTTTGGGATTGAAATACATCAAAACCTTTGGCAAATTCTAAATGAGGCTTCTCCAAGCAGCTCCACATCTGAACATAAACAGCAGCACAACTTCCAGGCCTACCTTTGTGAATTTTGGATCTGGAGGCAGGGCATTTCACCTAGAGAAAAAAGGGACACACTCAGCATGGGAGCAGCACAAGCACAGCTGCAGTTGTTGATCCCAGAGCAGCAGCAGCCTCACCCACCACTTCAGAGCTCCTGTACCACGTAGAGCACCTCCCCTCATTCTGTGTCCCAAGTTACCCAGGGTTAGTTGAAGTACAGCATAAAGGCTGCCATGCCCTGTCTTACATCCCACCTTCCCTCTGACCTCTCCAATGCATTAACCAATCCTTTGGTGAGCCAGTGTACCAGCCACATCACCATCATCATCTTACTTTGATTTGCTTGTGTGTGTGGTTTTTGCTTTCCCTAATAAATCATCTTTATCTCAATTAATGAGCTTTCTCACTTTTTTTCTCTCCCAGCCCCCTTGCCATCCCAGGGGGATCCCAGAGGGTGGCTGTGTAGGGCTGAGTTGCCATCTAGGGTTAAACCATGACCCTTAGTCCCTTAGGGTCAAAGTCAGTATTAGCTGTGCTATGAATGCTGATACTTAGCAACATCCGCCTCACTCTCACCTGGATTTACCCCCAACTTTATAAAAATAAAAATTCTTTGATTTTTTTTCATCTTCATCACTACCACAAGCACCAGATTGGATCTGGCACCCCCCTGACTGGCCCAATGGCACTGAAACTGCTACAAGAACTGTTCAAACCCTGAACTCCTGAAACTGGCTGCAGGCAAGTTGTTACCTCTGTCTTCTGGCACTGCTTCCTTGCTCCCGAGATGGCTCGCAGCAGCTGCTGGGCATAGGACAACATTTCTGTGTAGGTGGGATGTCAAAGAGCCAAAGCCGAGCCAGGGAAGGGAGCTGTTCCCCTCAGACTGCAGCCCACCCCCCATGGCACTGGGAAAAGCTGGAGCCTGCAGCCCCTGGCAGAGCATCTCCCCAGGAATGGTCCAAGATGAAGCCAAGTGAACACTTTGAGGGACAGCCCCTCTGTTTGCTCTCTGGCAGAGCTGGAGGCTGCTGGGGCTCTGCAGGAAGGAGACACTGGCAGGAGCTGTGCAGCACACAGAGCAGAGCCCAAGGTCTGGCAGCCCCAGAGGCTGAGCAGAGCCCAGGGACATGATCCAGACAGGCTCAGTCACAGCTGTATGTCACTGTCATCAGACACTCAGGAACCTTTTACTCCAGACCTATTATTAGTATCTGAGTTCTACCATCTGTCTTTCCCATCACCCCCTCCCCATCCATCATGGGGACAGGAGGTGCCTTCCAGAACAGGTCCTCAAACACCAGCACTTCCTAATTAAACCCGACCAAATCCTGCCCTTATCATGATTGTACTTCCAGGTTAATTAGCAAAAACTGTCTTTTTGGAACAAATTGATGTACTGACCAAGATATTGACATTTCCTAATGTTCCACCTTCAGTAGATGACAATGTACCCTGTGTTTGCTGTTGCAAATGTGACAGTGGCACATTCTGTACACACAAATCTGGTGTTTGAGGGCAGACCCAGCCTCGGCCAGGATGGCATCACTCCAGGATATTTGCTTGCAATTTCTTCCTTCTGTTCTACTCTTCTTACATCACTTTTGCTCCACCTGTCTCCAAAATCCCTCATTACCAGCAGCCTCCTTGCACCCCACAGGGAAGGATACCATCCACATGCAGGATCTGGACTCCCCACAGGCGAGCGTTGGCGAGGATGCTGCTGCCACTGCAGGTGTCCTGTACAGAGAGGTTTGGCAAAGCACAGCTCAAAGCACAGCCACGTGCAGCTCTAAGCTGAGCCCAGAGCCCTGCCTGCTGCCCAACTGACAGAGTGTGGCTGTTACTAAAAATCAGGGCACAGCAGTAAATGATCGAGCTCATGCTTTATCCATCTCAAATTAACAGCAGCACCTTGGCTAAATGTTTAATCCCTGCTAAATCATGAGCTTCTAAGTGGGCACTGAGATTTATCTGGCCACTTGTGACCTCAGGGAAAGGACTGCAGGGGAGCCTTGTGCCCCAGCTACATTGCTTTAGTTCTTCTTAAGCTAAAAATTCATCTAACAACAGGCCTTGTATTAATAATTCTCTTGTGCTGAGCACCCAGGTGGCTGGGACAGGCCTCAGAGGTACAACACTGGGTGACATGGCTCCAGAAATAGCAGTGACCAAGAGCACTCCACAATGTTCTGCAGGCCACAAGCAACTGCTTCATGCCTTTCCCAGCCCCAGGATCTGCTGTGTCAGCAGGGCAGGGGCTCTGCAGGAAGGCTGGCACTGGTTCTGCTCTGCTCAGCAGAGCTCTGAGCACGCCCAGCCCCAGCAGAGCCCATCCAAGGCTGCCCACCTGGTTCTTCATGGCCTTGTTCAGCAGCTCCTTCCCCCGGCTCAGCAGTGCCTGTGGAGAGAGGAGACATGAACAGGTCATGGCAAAGAGCTGGAGAGCAGCAATCCCTGGGGATCCCCACACTCTGCTGGGCTCATCTCTGCCAGTGCAGAGAGCCTTTCAGAGAATGCAAGCTGCAGAGAGGACCACTCAACTGCACCTCCACACCAGCCAAGGCTTGGAATTATCGACCAGCAGGGAAATGAAGGCTCCAGAGTGAGCCAGGAGGGAGCAGCAATTTAGCCTGGAAACTGCCTGCTGCATCATGGAATTGTTCAGGCTGGAAAAGCCCTGTAAGGTCATCAAGTCCAACTCCTCCCCAGCACAGTCAAGGTCACCACTGACCCCAAGTGCCCAGCTGCCACATCCAAAGAGTTTTTAAATCCCGGCAGGGATGGGGACTCCACCACTGCCCTGGGCAGCTGTGCTGGGGTTGGACAACCCTTTCCATGAAGGAGTTTAGCTAACATCCAACATAAACCTGCCCAGCACAGCTTGAGGCTGTTTCCTCTTGTCCTGCCATTTGTTCCTCAGGAGAAGGGACCAAGCCCCACCTGGCTACAACCTCCTATCAGGGAGCTGTAGACAGATCAGGTCCCCCTGAGCCTCCTGTTCTCCAGGCATCTGAACATGCTGGCCAGGGTTAGGAACCTCCTGGGAACTGAGCCAATGGTCTCAGCAGATTGGTTCAGCTCTTTACAAGACAAGGGACAGTGCTGGGAGCCAGGACAGGGGAAAAAAAACTGGGAAAAACCTCTGCGGCTCAGGTTCCCCCTGCAGGTGGTTCAGCTCCTGCACTGGGGCAGCTGCCTTTCCCCACTCACAGCTTTCAGCAGACACCACATTCAAGGTGGGATGTTGGAGTTTGGCCACAAGCATTTGTGAGCAGAAAGCCCAGCCCCAACAGGCAAATGGGACCAGGAGAAGCCCCTCATGCATCTCCTCCCAGGATACAGGGGCCTTGCCCTGTGACTGTGAGTACCCAGAGTCTGCAGTGGTTTTCCCTGCCTATATTTCTCTGGCTTTCTCACCACACCTCTGCCTGTTCCCTCAAGAAGCCAGCCAAGGCCTCTGCATCCCCTGCCATTCTAGATTTCCTTGATTACAGCCCAAAGCTGTGACATGCATGTTTGAGTAGACAATGATGGCAGACAAAGAACAAGGATATGAATAGGGACAGCCAGGGAGACAGGAACAGAGCAGGGAAAAAACACACATAATATTTGCTCAGAGCAGGAACAACTCCACCTTCCAAAACTGCCCCAGATTCTACCCTCCAGACCCCTCGGACAAAACCTTTGTAGCTCTTACAGTGTATGGTGGCTTCTGGCGAGGTCTGGCTGGGGCTCCTTTGGGGGCAGCAGGCACTGAGCTCGTGGGTTTTGTGCCTTGTGCAGCTGGGCTGCCCTGCTTCTCCTCCCGAGCCCTGGCCTGGCCCTGCTTGGCCTCTCTGTTGCTGGACACCACGCAGGTGACTTCTTTGCTGAGGAAGCTTTCGGTCACCTGCAGCGAGACAGAACAGAGCAGCTCTGCAAGTGCCTGACCCTGAGCTGACAGAGCCCTGCTGAACAAAGCTGCTGGCCCAGCTCAACCCCCACACAGCCAGGGGCTGCTGGGAGCAACCACATTCCTTCTTTCATTCCATACTGACCAGGAGATCCTGTGATGCCCCAGAGATTCACTGCAAACAGACACCAGGAATTCAGATCCAGGCATCCAGGACTCTGTCACCACCACCCACTCCTCACAGTGCTTTTAAAAAAAACCCAACATCTGAGGAAAAGAGCCTGGACATCATGGATCAGCCTGGAGGAGCTCTGTCCTCAGGACAGCATAATCAGTTTTAGAAAAATAAAGGAGAAAGGGAACAATTGGGCAAGGAGCTCCACAGGCAACAGGGCAGGAGTGGAGCAGAGATGAAACACACACACACACACACCTTTGCACAGAGCTACCCAGCCAAGGAAGAGGTGGAAACCCAAAAGTTGGGACACTAATGGTATTATAAGCCACTAATGACTTGGCTTCTCAGAATCTGTGCAGGAGGCAGTCACAGGGCCCAGGTGTGAAGCCCTCTGGAAGATAAAGATCTTGGCAGCCCAAAATCACAGCTGCTGAACAAGCTGGTTCTGCTCCATTGCAGGATCCCATTGTAGGTGGAGACTCCCAAACCACCAAGTGGGTGTGAAGTGCCACAAGGGTCACTGCAGGCTGTACTGCAGGCACAGAAGAGAGGAATTCACAACCTCCCCATCCAAATAACACTCCAGAGTGTCACCATGTCCCCATGCCAAGCCCAAGGCCACAGGATGTCCTGGTCTGTGTCCTGAGCTACACACAGAGCCTGGGCTCAGATATTGCTGCCTTCACAGTGGCTGTGGTGTAGGTCAGTATTTCCACAGGAGCCAGAGGAATGAGAGCTCCACTGCCAGAGCACCTCATTTCAGGAGGGACAGCCAGGATGGTGTGTGACAGGAACCAGAAGGATGGCCAAAGTCTAAAATGATTTCCAAGTAACACAGCAGCTGCAGAGAGGAGTAGCTGTCTGCTGGGAGCACAGGGTTCTCAGACCTGAGGATGCCCAGCTGGGAAAGAGATGTCCCAAGAGTGGGTGGCACATCTAGGGGAGGGCAGAGAGAAACCAGCAAGTTCAGGGTGAAGGTGCAATTCATGGAAGGAAAAAGAGTGCAAGTCACCTTCCCCACGTGCCTGTGCAGCCAACCCCTGCTTAGGGCTGAAGGGACACAGCATCAGCAAGAATTAAAAGATTTTACAGTGTGTGTGTGGGAATCAGAAACTTCCACAAACACTGAAGGATTTGATCTATAGCTCTAGAAGAAGCTTAGATTAATATAAAAACACAATATACAGCTATTAAGCAGAAAAATCATAAACTTATGTTGCTATAGTTGTAAGCAATAATATGCCTTAAGTGACAAACTATATCAATAAGATAGTGAAAAGTTTATAATGTAGAGGTGTAGTTGTATAGAATAAGCTAAGAGTTTAGAAGTTATAATAAAAGCATATGTGTATATGTAAAACAGAAGCCCACTAGAGAAAAGTATCCACAGTACAACAAAATTAAGTAAAGATAAGAAGTTAAAAAGCAAAATAAACCTTGTAACCGTCTATTAGTTAAAAAAACTTATATACTGTTTTGTAACAAAAACTTGTTATTACTCTTGAACTATAACCAACAACTCACTTAAAATCTCACAACCTCTAAAACTAATATTAATCTAAACCATAAATTATTTTTAACCCACAAATAATCCAATTCCTTCATTACTAACAGCAACAATTGTAAGTGTGTACATTGTAGGATTTAAGTTTTGAGGTTACATGAGATGATCACCTCAGAGAGAATAAAGAGCTTGAAAACAAATAGTAGGAACTGCTAGAACCAAACTGTGCACAAGAGCAGAAAGATGAACAACAGGTACAACCACAGGTTCAGCTCCAGCTTGAGGGACTGGGGTGATGCTACTTTTTGAAAGGTTTTGGGACAGGAGATAAGGAATTGATGAGGAATATCAGCAGCAAGGAAGCCTGGAGGCCATGAAGGATGCCACAGGGATCCACACAAATAACAGCCTCCCAGGGAAAAGGGTCCAGATGGCTTTTCTGGGAAAATCATGATAAAAGCACACCACTCCATGATAAGAACCTTGGTTGGCATTTCCCTACTTTACCATATGCTGAATTGCATTTGGAAGTCCCACAACCTCCCTGAAAGATTAAACTGCCACAGGCTGTTGTCAGCGATGAGGGGGAACCACACACCAGCTACAACCACCTGGAAAAAGTACCAGGGAACAATTTATCACTGGCTGCTGGGACACCCATCACCCCCAAGCAGTTCTCACCTCTGGGAGGTGCCCCCAGGAGCAGCAGGCAGCTCCCAACCCTTGGGAAGCACTCCCAGGACCAAGTGACCACCACTGGAAGCACCTCCATGGGCAGGGAGCTGCTCTCAGAGAACATGAGACCAGGCAGACCAGGAACACCTGCTCACCTCTGGGAGGTGCCCCCAGGAGCAGCAGGCAGCTCCCAACCCTTGGGAAGCACTCCCAGGACCAAGTGACCACCACTGGAAGCACCTCCATGGGCAGGGAGCTGCTCTCATGGTGAGAACCATGAGACCAGGCAGACCAGGAACACCTAGAGTGTTGGGAGGGAAAGGAGTTCTGTCCCCAGGAGAACACAACCAGTTTTAGAAAAATAAAGGAGAAAGGGAACAAGGAGAAAGAAAAATAAAGGAGAAAAGGGCAAGCAGCTCCACAGGCAACAGGGCAGGACACACCAGTCCTTCCAGCACTTGTCGGACCTAGAACACCTGGAAGGTTGGGAGGGAAAGGCCAGAAGAACCGGAGCGTCGGGGAGGAAAGGCCAGAACAGCCGGAGCGTCGGGAGGGAAAGGCCGGTCCCGAGCCCAGGGGCCGCCGAGGGCCGGGGGAACTCAACCAGCCCCAGGACCGAGGAGGGAACCGGCCCCCCGGAAAAAATAAGAAAATCGGGAAACATTAAACAATGAGCAGAGTCAGAAAAGAGGCGAGGCCGCCCCAAGACACCCCCCGGAGCCCCGCAGTGCCCCCGGCCCCTCAGGGCCCCGCGCTCACCCCCCCGAGCCGCCCGATGGCCTCCGCCAGCTCCCGGGCGCTGCGGCCGCTCGGCAGGTCCAGGTAGAAGGACTGTCCGCGGAGGGGCCGCGGCGAGGCCGTGCCGGCCATGGCCCTGCCCGGCTCGGAGCGCCAGGAGCCCGCCGCTGCTCCGCGTTTAAATTCCGCCGCCCGCCCCGCCCCGCACGGCGGCCGCGCAGGGACGCGCCGCTCCCCGCGAAAGCGCTCTCCGGGGGAAGGAGAGGCCGTGCCAAGGGTGCAGGTGGCGCGGGGCGCTCACGGGGCACACCGAGCACACCGGGCTGGCTGGCTGGCTGGCTGTCCGCCCGGCCCGGCCCCGCCGCTCCTGTCCGGGCACGGCCGCACCGACCCCGACCGCGCTCCCTCCGCTCCCGCCGGCGCCACAACTTTGTCCCGCCGCGGCCGCCGTCTCCTCCCTGTGAAGGCGCAAGATGGCGGCGCCCGGCGGGGCGGGCGCGGCGCCGATGGCGATCCCGATGCCGGGCCCCATCCTGCTCCCGGAGCCGCCGCCCTTCCCGGCCTGGCTCGCAGCGCGGCTGGACGCGCTGGGGCTGGACCGCGCCGTCTACGGCGCCTACATCGAGGGGCTGCTGCGGGAGGAGGAGAGCGACGAGGAGCGGCTGGAGGCGCTGCGGGCCGTGCTGGCCGCCTGCCTGGTAAGGGCGGGGGTCCCTCCGCGGCCCGGCCAGCGGGGTCTCGCCGGCCGCCCCGTGCCCATGAACGCGCCCTGCTCCCGCCGGGGCTCCGTGGGGCGGACGGGCGGGGGGCTCCGGGCTGGGTGATCGGCCCCTTCCCGGGGCGGGTACCCCCTTCCTGGCAGGACACCCCCATCAGGGGCTTTTCTGCCCCCACCCGCCACCCCTGCGGGGTTTTCGGGGCTTGTTTGGGGTTTTGTGCCAGGCTCGGGCTGATGGAGGTTCGTGGGGAGCGCAGGGATCGCCCTGGCTGGGTGCAGCGCTCAGGGATCCCCGCGGGCCGGGCGAAGTGGCAGCGCCAGCTGGGCACGGGAGGTGACTCTGACCGGAGAACCCTCCGGAGCAGGGCGCGGGGCGGTGCTGCCCTGGCGCACACTCGCCTTGTCCGTCGGGAATGGGATCCCGCTGCGGCTGCGACGGACGGGAGCAGCCGTGGGTGGGCAGGGCTTGCCTCCGCTCCTGCCGGGTTCCTGGGAGCCGGGACAGGGCAGGGAGCCTTTTCTCTTCGATAATCCGCCTTGTGTGACTTTACAGTGTCTGGGTCTCGGGGTTTTTCATAAATGGATAACTCATAGTGTAAAACGCGAAACCATGAGTAGTGCTGGTGTTGGGAACTGTCTGCTCAGTGTCTGTCACTGGTTTCCTCCCAAAATATCAGTGTGGGAGCACAAAACCCAGAGGGACTGGGCGGGTACAATCAGCTTTTTGTTACCACAGGTGCACTGACTGTGCCATTCCACTTTTAGGGTTTCCTAAAAGCCAGAGCACCCTCCCTGCTGTCCCTGTCCCCTCCCCACCCCGGGGCACAGCAGTGAGCCCCTTCAGCTTTGAGCCTGAAAGAGCCAGGGAAGCAAAGGCTGCACCCTGAGGGACGGGGCCAGATGTCTTTGCAAAGTGCTGCTCTGCAGTAGTCGAGGTTAATTAACCTCCCTGTAATTACCAGACTTCATTCCATCCCCATCACTGTGCCTGGGAAGTGTGTCCTGGCTGAGCAGTGCTGGCTGCTCCTGCCAGTGATATTCCCCTTTGCTGATACTCCAGTTTTCTGCTGTTTCCCCTTTCCTGCTCCGTGCTCTGTTCCCTCCTGTGCTGCTGCCAGGACTGAGCAGCTGTGGGGTTGCCATGTCCCTCCAGTCCAGGGCTGCTCAACTCCACGAGTTGAGCTTCATTTGCAGTTTCTGGCTCACTTTGATTTTTCTGCCATTCCTGTAAAACATTTTTGTCTCTTGAACCCTCAGACTTTGTAATTATTCTTTGTAGTCTGTTCTTTTTTAATGTCTTTTTTGTTTCTTTATTTTTAGACTCTGTGCTTATTTCTGTACTGACTTTTGAAACAGTGTTTTATTTGGTGAATTTGGGGGTTTTCTTGCCAACTCTCTTCAAGTTCCATACACAAATTACAGGGGATTTTTTTTGTTCACTTGTTTGTATTTCACAAACACTATTAAAATAAGGTGACATCTCAATGTGACATCTGCTCTGTCCATGGTTCCTCAGTCCTGATCATGTCTTGCACTAGTGATGTTCTACCATTACTAATCAAGAAACTTCAAATTGAGTTGTATTTCTGTCCAGTTCTTCTCTTTAAACCAGACAGAATCCACCTCACTTGGACTTTCCATGGTTGATTTTTCTCTGTATTTACTGAATGTCAAACCAACATAATTTTCTTGTTTCTTTGAAATATTTGGTGGTGGCCCCTGAGCTCTGTGACCCCCATCTGTGGTGTTTGGCTCTCCTGTGTTCCATGGAGCAAATGCCAATGGGTTCCAAGACATTCAGCACTTTTAAGTAACAAATTTAAGCAGGGAGAAAAAAAAACAGGAACACAGCTGGAGAGGGGAGTGAGAAGCTGTGAGAGCTCTGCAGGGTCAGGAGCTGCTCCAGGTACCATGGCTGGGATCCCCCTGAGATTCTGTGGGGACACCACGGTGAGGCAGCAGTGCCCCTGCAGCCCCTGGAGATCCAGGCGGGAGTGGAGATCCACCTGCAGCCCCTGGAGATCCACCTGCAGCCCCTGGAGATCCACCTGCAGCCCCTGGAGATCCAGGTGGGAGCAGAGATCCACCTGCAGCCCCTGCTGGAGCAGGGCCACGTGTCCCACTGCCATTTCTTAGTCATGTTTATTGTTCCAGCAGGTCAAGGGGGACCAGGATGTCCCTGAGGTGGGAGGTGATGGTGTGTCAGCACCAGCACAGGGGCTCCAGCTCTGCACTGACCCTCACCTGTGATTTATCCCATGTAATTTATTCCCTCTAGTGAGCTTGGTGTGGAAGCACTGAGTCACTTCCCTGTGGCCTTGCTCAGGAAGAGAGGATGCAGGGCAGGAGGCTTTGGGAGCCAAGACCCCCAGTGGCCTCGTGGGTGTGGGCAGGGCTGTGGCACCTGCAGAGCCACCCTTGAGGTCTGAGCTCTTCACTGACCAGAATAGAAGAGAAAGTCCTCTGAGTTCTCTGCTTTTAGCCCCCTGTGTTCTCAGAGGTGTGTTCCTGTCTTCAGTGGTTACACCAGGTGTCAGTATTCAAATCTGACCACTGATTGGTTTGGCTGTGACTTCCTTCCCAAGAAAACTCACTTCCTTGTCAGCCTAGGACAGGAACCCACGTGTGTCAGTGTCCATGTGCACAGTGACCAGACACGGTGTGGTTGTGTCAGCCCAGGGAAACCAGAGTCCTGTGTGTGTTTAACAGCAGATTTGGGGTGACAAGCTGCTCCTGAGCTGACTGCTGGGTGTGCAGATCCTTTGGAGCTGCTGCTTTTCTTGTCTGATGGGTGCTTGTTTGAAGCAGCCAGCTCTGTTCCAAGTCTGAGGAGTCTCTTTTCTCTTTCTAGGAGGAAGATCTCTTGAATGATGTGTGCAGGGAGGTTGTGGAGAGGTGGTCTGACTCCCAGGTCGTTGATTCCAAAGAGGAGAAAGAAGGTAGAGTGCTGTGCCTGGTCCTCAGTGTGGGGTGCCCTGCAGGCCCTCACCTCAAAGGGAACTTTGTGTTTGTCCTGGCAGGAGTTAAAGCAAAGGTGCCCCGTGGCTGCAGGTCTGAGCTGCCTCTCACTCCATTGCTGCTCAGTTCTCAGTTACTCTTTCACCTGGCATGGGGATGAGCAGCTTCACTGTGGGCTACCCCAGCATTTGCTGCTCTTTGGGTTCATCATCCTGCAGGGGAAAAGTGTTGTGGGTTTTGTTTGTTTGTTTGTTTGGGTTTTTTGCCTTCTGTTGTTTTTTGATTTTTTTTTTGTGGTGGTTGTTTGGTTATTTTTTTGATTGCTTGTTTTGGTTTTTTTGGTTGTTTTTTTGTTTGGGTTTTTTTTAATGTGTGTGGTTTTGGTGGTTATTTTGTGTGTGTGTGTGTGGTTTTTTTTTCTACAGGATTTTTTTTCTGATGAGATGGTCATTAAGGTCGAGCCCGAACCATTCTGTGGTTTTTTCAGAAACCTTTCCCAGCACATCCAGGGCTGTCTGTGCTCAGTGCTGGCACTGCAGCTGTTATGGTATAAAAACCCATGCTGCTTCTGTGTGGGCAGTCTGGAAAGCAGCTGGTTTGTCCAGCTGCAGTGCCCCTGTGGAGAGCTGGGCTGTCCCTGCTGCTCACCCCACTCCCATGTCTGTATTTCCTCTTCCAACATTTTCCCTTACAACTCTCCCTTTTTTTCCATAAATGCTTTTTGGAGGAAGCTCTGTGAGGCTGCCAAACTGTCCCTGCTCCTTCCCCAGCCCCACTGTGCCTGTGGCCATCCCTCGTGCTCAGCTGGGAGCCAAGACCTGGCCCTGGCTGTGTGTGGGGTTTGTCCTGGTCCCTGTGCAGGGCTCTGGATCCAGTGGAGCTGGGAGGATTTGTGGTTCAAGCACAGATCAGTGACATTGCAATGGCACAGACCTGACAGGAGATCGTGACAATGGAATGTCCCTTTGGTCTAAATCCTGGTTTTTGTTTGCTTTGCATTTTGCCTGTGGTTGCAAACAGCACATTGTCAGTGCCTGGTGTCACACAGGAATGGCTCTGGCAGCAAGACCTTGATGACTGCATCAGCCCCAGATCCCCCTCTGCCTCCCACTGCATGGACACTGCAGCTCCACCACTCAGCAGCTCAGTGGCTTTCCCCAGAAATCCTGGAAATCTGCTCTTGGCCTGACCTTGCCTTTGGCTGGGGACAGCGAGAAGTTAATGCTGTTCCATGCACTAAATAAAATAAATTCCTCTTGAGGACAAGTGACTGGGATTGTTGGAGCTGCTGCTGGGCTCCTCCTGCTCCTGACAGTGCTCACCCACAGGGATTT